TTTTCCCCTCCTCTCCCACCCCCTGCCTCATCCTTCCCTTTCTCCTTCCAGATCCAGAAGATGAAAGAAGGAAGTAATCAGTCCTTTTTGCCCCTTCTTCCCCGCCCTGATAGTGACGCATCTTCAGGCAGAGCTGTGGCACAGACTCCCACGTGCCCTCCCCGTCCCCCGACCCCCAACGTTTTTCTGTTTATAAACACCATGGTCCCTTTCACTTTTCCAACCCCCTCAACAACCCACCTTCCCTCCCTCCTGCTCTTGGAAAACCTCCCCTCCCCAACCCCACGGGGCTTGCAGGGACAAGGCGACGGACTGAGCTGAGCTGCTTATTTATTGAAAATAAATGACAGAAAAGTCTGGCCTTGCCTCTGTGCACATCTTGGGGCCTGGGTTGGGCCCCTGGGGACAAGCATCTTAGTGTCATGCGGTCCAGAGAGCAGCTGCCCGTCCCGGGGTGCACGGGTGGAGGGACCCGCGGCCACGCGCCAGAGACCCCCAGCTGCCGCTCACAGCTCGGCTGTGCGTCGGGGAAGCGATGTGGCTATTACTCTGGCTCAGGAGACAGCGGCAGGAGGACCAGGACCCAGGAGGCAGCATGGCAGCCAGGAGGCCGCAGGGCTAAGCCTGCACCTTTGGTTCCCGGAGGGGGCTGGGACTCCCACCCAGGCGTCATCCTTGGGGGCAGGAGGCCAGCCACCCCTGGGAGGAGGCGCTAGAGAGACAGGGAAGCGGCAGCCCCGGCACCTCAACCCTAGGTTTGGAGAGGATGAAGACACTATCCCGAGACCCCCAAAGCCCAGGCCTCTTGGTTCAGGAGTGGGGAAAGGCAGTCTCCCCCGGGGTGGGTGGGTGCTAGCCCCTCAGGTGTCCTTGATGTCCCTGATGTCCCTGAGGGGCGCCTCATCCACGATGCTGCGCACTTGCTCCAGACTCTCGGCCTGGCGGATCCGTTCTAGGCGCACCTGTGGGGTCCGGCGAGGCAGGAGAAGGGTGCTTGGTGGGGAAACGTAGCCCCCGCCCCACCTGCCAGCCCTCCAAGGGACGAGGGCCCGGGACCAGTACACCCAGGCGCCCCATCTTCCCAACCCACAGTGAAAGTGGGTCCAAGGGAAGAAATGGGTCCTGACAGAGTGGCCTGATGCAGCGCGGGCTGGGCAGGTGGGGCTGACACACGTGGCATGCCAGGCTCTGGGCCAAGGACTCCACGTGTCCAAAGACAGACACGCACGGCCTTCAATTTCTTTTGAGCAATAACTCAGAGGAGAGGAGGACGCCGGCCTCGGGAAGAGGAAGGGAACTCCCCTAATTGGAAGGCTGTCCTCGCAGGATCTAGAACAAGCCACCTGGATCATGCCAGCCTGATGGGAAGGGGACACACTGTACCTGCAGGGCCTGGGACAGTCGTACAAAATCCCTCTGCACCTGTTCACTGGTCTCCAGCTCAGCCTGCAGCCGCAGCACCTTGGCCCTCTGTTCTGAGAGGAGGTCTGTGAGCTGGGCCTGGGGGGACAGGACGCAGAGCTGGGGCTGGCACCAGATGGGACGGCGTGCGGCCAAGGAAACAAGATGTCTGGACAGGGGTGCCCCTTCCACACCGTCCCTGACCCTGACCTCTTCTGTGAGGCCGGAGCCCGGTGGCTACCTCGGGGCCTTCCTGCCACCCGGCCTAAAGGCGACAGAAAGGGCGGGAGAGGCCGGTGGGGGTCTCCACGCTGCCGCCCCTCCCGCCGTCATGGAGTCTGGCTCCGGAGTCCAGCCTCACCTTGCTCTGTTCCTGCTGGATCCGCTCCATCTCCGTCCTCAGGCTGCACAGGGAGGCTGGGAAGTCAGGCAGGGGCCGGACGTCAGACCCGCACCCTCCCTGCCCTGCC